GCACGGAAGGCACTGCCAACAACAAGGTGAGGTAGAAGATTTCCTTGTTCCAGGAGGACACTGTTCCGAACATTCCGATTTCGGAGGGCGACCAGATTTAGTCGTCCAATTCAGGGCTTCATGAAAAATCAAGCGAGTTTCGTTTTTCTGTGAATTTTTCCATTCTCCTATCAGCACCATTTTTACACTCTCCACATCTCCATTGGGTACATTTTTAAAGCTGAAAATGTCATAATACGCTGAGCTCCTGTCGCCAAATCGATCGAACTTGATTTTTCCAGTTAGTCCGTCAAAACTGACGCGGCCAAGAAGTTTCTGCACGTCAAAACTATTGGTTATCTGCAGTTTCGCCCGATCTTTGGTCTCGTCATAGCTAAAATTTCGATTGAAAATATCTAGTGCGTGTGCCACGGCATATACGGCGTCAATGATGTACGGAACATAGGAGCTGTAGATTTCTTTAATCAACTCGTTAGAGCACTGCTCAATTTGGCGATGAACACACTTCATGTTCTTCAAGAACTTCCATTTTTCGCTTGTAATGTGGTTCCATTCAGAAAAACTTCTATCGTCTTTCTCCTTGACCAATATTTCTTTTAAATATTCCTTGAAGCCAGAGTCGCTGAATTTATGGAATTGAAATCCTAAAGAGCTCTCCAGAATACCTTTTACTGGCAGTGTAGAAGTTAAATGAATCTCGCTCAAAATCCACACACGTCCAGTTAGGTTTTGCCTCTGAACCTCTGCCAAAAACTTCGTTTGGTAATTCTCGTATAACCATAAGATCACAACTTTGACATTGTCCATCTGTTTAAGCTTTTTAACTATGTTCCCAACACTCAGATGCGGACTTTCGAGGCGTATAAACTCCGTCAAAGCAATACAGAACGAGCTCTTCCTTGACGAACTTTCGCTAACCACTGCCCATGCTCCACTTCTTCCATACGAATCATCTTGTCCAACCACAGCAACATAACCCCAGTTAAAGTGCGTAATTAAGTCAACCATCGCTTTTGCAAGAAACTTGTCCGAAGGCACTGTTCGATATAAATGTTTATAGGTAAAAGAGCTAAGCTCCGTACTGGTTGCTGTTCCAGTTATGCTCGAAACATTGAGCATCCGAAGAAATCCACCAATGAATAGCGCTGTTCTTGATTCGTTTGGGCCTATTAAAGAAATGATGGCTTTCTTTCTTGGGGCATTTTGGCTTAAATTGACGCAAGAATCAACGGTCAGTAGTTGATAAATGAGTCCCGCAGCTTTTGAGAGGTTTCCACCGTAATCCCTTATGTCATATCCTAGGGAAATGTTCGAAAGAAGACTTGTGTCATTGTTTATTCGTTCGATTGCGAAGATCATGGCCTGCATGCGACCAAGTCCTCTCAAATATATCTCTTCAAATTGCGACCCTGGCCAGTATGGCACCTGGTGCACGCTAAAAAGTCCGCCCAACATGATATCGCCTTCTCTGTATTGAGCCTGAACAGCAGCATAGAAGCACAGGAATAGAAACAAATTGTAGTGCAACGAACTCATAGCAATACTCTTCTTTTCTCCGTTTACTTGTTGGTGAACCAAACGCGGAAACGTTAGTTATTTGTTCGTAGGTGTATTTTGCAGATATGATAGTGATAAGTTTGACAGTTTGACGCAATTGTTAAATGCAGCTGTTGCGTGGCGAATAAAAAGAAAAAACAATAATATATCTATATAGAACGTTCTTCTTCAATACAACGCAAATTTTTACAGATTAACACGCATTAAAAACTTTCAAATGCAATTACCACTTCAACTAAGTAGTACTTATTTTTCTGACCTTGACAATAATTTGCATATAATTTAAAACGTATCTTCTTATCAATAGTCTACAAAAAACTTCCAATAGAATTAACATTTCACTAAATTATAAAATAAGAAGTAAATAAGTGCATTGTTCTTCCCAGATGTGAACTTATGTTTTTCGAAACAATGTTTTTCGAAACAATGTCTTTCTTAATTTGCCATCGGAAAAGCTATCTAGACCTTCCGCTGATCAAACCATCCCGGAAACATAAAAAAAATAAACCAATCCATAGCACGTTAGACGAATGAATTTTCTTCAATAATAGATTAAATTTTGTTTAAACACGTAGAAATTAGCAATATTAACCGACGTTTCGGAGTTTTCATGATGCCATTGCCAAGGTAAATGTTAGGATAATGAATTCTGTGAGAATTATTAACCACAATGAAGTTACATGATGAAGAATGTGAGATTACATTGCAGAAATATTTTAACACGGATCGAGGCGGATTGTACGTTCATAGTTAGTTTTAGTTCTCTGATGAATAATATCTCATGCAAGAAGCAATCGAATTTATTTTCCCATTTTTATAGAACATCGAAGCGCCTCAGTAGGTCTTCATGGACCTTGTCATGTTTGTCTTTGTAGTGTTTATATAAAGAAGATGACCGTTGTTTATGTTCGTCCACACGTACGTGTAAGTGTCCGCGCGTATAGCCCACACGAGTACTCCACTACAAAGCCTGCGATGATGCTGGGAACGAAAAATACAAAAAAAAAAATTTCTTGTTATCATAATATCTCGGAATCAATGCAATAAACATCATACGAAAGACTTTCAGATCTTGACGCAGCCAATCGTTTTTCCGGCAGAATCGACTAGACCAATCTACTCAGGGTTATTCTACTGTTATTGCGATATATGGCACTGTGGTCCATATTGCACTGTGCCTTATATTGTACCATGTTTGCATTGTGCTACCTTTCAAAGGCACACTGTGATGCACAAACGCTTAAAATTACGAGGACCTTATTTTCTTTGCAAAATGCCATCTACTTTATCAGTATGGTTGTATTTTAAAGGTTTTTTTTTAATTACGTTGGGGGATAGTTAGAGAAAGAGGGATTTGTAGCCAACAACTACGAAAAAAATATTTTACCACGAGATCACACAACTGAAGGATAACTGAATTCGCCTTATCATATCCATTTCCCTTTTATTAAGATCGTACGTGACGACTCAATCCGTTTGATCGGATCTCTTTATTTTTCAGAGTTTTACGGAAATTAAATTTCACTCGAACAAAGGCTTGTCGTGACACTTTTTACGACTCTAATTTAAGACAACTTTGGAGGACAATTTACAAAAAACTACGGAATTGAGCAAAAAACAAATACCACAGCCATGTAGATTAACTCTATCTTATCCATCGAGGTGACTTTCGTGAACATCACATTTCAATCAAGTAAACAGGAAGACTTGAATGACACCTTATCGGTTCACCTAATTCACACACGCGAAAACCGATCAAATGCAAGGTAAATTTTTGAAAAAGTGAGGCGTTCTTAACTGATCTAACTACCATCGCTGGGAAGTAGGTGCCATAGAAAAGGTAACTATGGAAGAAACTTTGCCGCCCGATCTTTACGAAAACTTTATAACTCCGTGAACTTACTTAATTTTCGGCAATCTCCAAGTTTGGCCGCCATTTTGAGGGACTTTTCAACATGAAGCGTAGCAGATAACCATCAGAAATACATACGAAAGCAATTCAAATGAACCTTTATTTCCAATTCAAGCGGCAAAATTTGAAATTGTTCGTTAAACTTACCATTCCTACATCCCCATACGACCATTTCTTCCAACAATTCAAACTCTACAACTAGGGCTCGAATTCCTCTTGTCGATTCCACCGTAAGAAATAATCTGTGCCACCCAAGCTTCGACTCCAATGTTAAGTACGAATCAAATAACATTACTGCTTCATCTTCGAGGTAATATCACACTGGTATTTTGATTTTCGGATCGATAAGAACGGTAATCAGGAAGCGATCGCCATGTTTACCTCATAAACGTAACCGCTGACCAGCCACTGTTTGAAAACAATACGGTTCGGTGGTGAGGGGCGGGGTGTGGGGTGGGTGTGGGCAGATTATCAGAAGATTTTTGGGAACAATCGAACATATGCATTAAATTATCATAATAAGCATTAGGTCTCTCAGTCTTAATGCGAAGCCATGCTTCGTGTTGCAGACAACTTTTTTCAAGTACATTTCGTTCCAAATAGGACTGGCATCAATTCATAGATTTATGAACAAATCTTTACCACGTAAATAAATGTGTTTAGATAATCGAGATATCCACTGAACCTCTTGTATCGCATCAGAAGTAACGTGTCTTGTCTTTGCCCAACTCTGAGAGCGTGGAGTGGCAAAGAAGCGAGACACGAGTCTCGCGTGGAGCGGCTTCTCTATGCTCACAGGATACGCGTGACCCCACTATCTTTAAGAAAAATAAGAGACTGCTCGGAGTCTGTATTCCGTTCAACCATTTCATAAGAGTGACGCGACTCACGAATTACAGTAGGCTTCTCCTTTGGCGTGGAAAATGAAATCGTATCGAGTATACAAAGTTTAGTGAGTTCCTTTAGATCTCCCGAACTTGTATCACGTTAGAAACAATTACAAGTACAGGAAGATGTCGTTCGCTAGCGAGACGTTCATTATGTCTCAGGACTGCTTTTTAAATAGAAAAGATGGAAAAAACTTTGGTTCATCGCATGGCTTAATTGTGGTTTGGTACGACTGTTTGAATGCAATGATGAAGTAAAACATCACTTGATAAGCTGCCACCTGTCTAAAGAGGTCTTAAGTGAAAATGAGCTAGCTAATCTTGGCAAGGACTGACCTATTTCACCTCGCTCAGGAGGATAAACAAAACATGTGAATTTGCTATAGGCAACGCCACACTTCAGGGAAGTTTTGGAGAAGTGCAAAGGTAACATGTCAGTATCCTATCATGATGGTGTCAGGAAGCGTATCCAAGGCAAAGATGTAATTACGTTGCATATGTCTCAGGGCATTCAAAAGCTGTTTGGAGTTATTATTCCAGTTGAATCAGGTAGTCTTCAATAACATTTTCTGTTATCTATTTTTATCTCGTGACATTTCTGCTTGAAAAGAGAAGAAACTCTATATTAGATTAACGGTACTTAA